TTATTTTCTGGTGCTTTCACTTCCTGAGACAGTTGTAAGCACTGTGTGACTGCCTCGAGGGTGCATGACCATCTTAACACAACGTGGTGCGATCATGCCCCTTGCGCGGAGTGGGGCTTCTCCACCCCGCACAACACGATCTACTCGACGACCATTATGGTTACAGCCAAAAAAACAACGGAGGTAAAAAAACAAACGGTAACCTGGTTGCCGAGTTCACGAAGTGAATTGGCTTGTTTTACAACGTCGTTGCCAAGCGACGAAAACCCAATCCCGATGGCAAACACCGGGGGGGGCGGCTTGTTTTACAACGTCGTTGCCAAGCGACGAAAACCCAACCCCGATGGCAAANGGGGGGGGAGGGGGCAATATTGCATGCAGCACTCTACGTCGAAACAGTCCGATCGGGGTCGGGAGGAGGGGCTGCATGTGCGCACGGTCTCATCTCTCGAGCCCGTTCATGGTGTTGCAAAGAAAACAAATGAAGCGCATTTGACGCGAACACACCGGTCAAACGTCATACTCGAGCATCAACTGCCCAACGCCCAAAAATGGGCCTGTCTGTCACGGTCGTACAAACTGAATGCTCGGGACACCAATCATATCACCTACAATAAAACACGTTTCTGTAGCGCTAGAGAAAGGAGTTGTAGCGAGAACAGAGAAACAAAGAACCGTCCAGTCGCAGTCAGTCTTATTTACTTAATTTTACCTGCATGAGTTCGGACCAAGGCTTGGGCCACTTCTTGTGTACCGGGGGTCGGTGCGATCCTCGGATGACCTGCGAGAGGCGTAGCATGCAGAACAGGCGGTCGCGACAAGTTTTGAGCCGATTTGATCGGTTGCAAGGCAAAGGTAGAGAGTCACACAGCTACCCGATAGCCTGAGTCAACTCAATAACAGCATTTTTGACTTACAACATTGTTCTTCCTCCCCCCGTGAGAGACGCTGTCTACCGGGACACCATCGTAAATTTCCTCCGCGCGGCTTAAATCGTGGTCAATTTTTTGTTCAAACGACTTTCTCCGATATCTGAATGAAGCCAATCTGTCGAAACGTGAGTTAATCCGACTCGCTTTGCCTTGCAAATCGATCAAATCGGAGAAATTTGTTCGGATCATCACCTGCGAGAGGAATCGGTCGTGTCCCATGCCGTCAAACGGCTTCTTGAGCGTGGACATCTCCCAAAGGATGATGCCGAACGAGTAGACGTCCACCTTTTCGTTGTAGGGCCTTGACTCGGCGACCTAGATTGCACCAAGCAAAGGAAAGAGCAAAACCAACGTCGGCTGGTTGCAACGTAACACGGTAGAAACAACAAAAACACCAAACATCACAAACGACGAAGCGGCGAAAAAACAAGCGGTCGAACGCATCGGACATGAGGTACAAGTCGAAACACGTGCGGATCATTGGCAAAAAAACAATCATCCCCTTTCGGAAAGCGTCATAATGTGCGATAGCACCTCTGGTGCTGTGACACTCCCAAAAATGTTCAGCAGATGTCTCGCCCATCCAAATTTGTCCCTACGCATATACTTCTCCATTCTCTCGGCAAGGTAGGGTTGTCCATATGTACCTCTGGTGCCATGTACCGGACTGAGCCAGTTTCACCCGTCATGTTGAACATGGTGTTGTCCACCTCGCTCTTGGACACCACCTTGCTAAGGCCCAGATCCAGCAGCTTCAGGTCGCCGTCAGCGTTGAAGCCGATGTTGTCCGGCTTAACGTCCCTGTGCACCACCATCCTGCCCGGAATGGCCTCCTCGTGGAGGTGCCGCAAAGCTGCCGCCAGCTGCCGCGCGTACCGAAGCAACTGGGGGACGAAGAGGGGGAAGACCGGAGGAAGCTACAAGCATGACACCACTACATAGCACAAAGCGCGGACGTCGAGACAGAGGTCGAACGCTGACGACAGTAGCAATCACTTTCAAAGGGCTACACCGCCCTCGCCTCTTCGGTGAGCGGCTAGATACGAACAAGGCGTTTGCCGTGTTTGCATGCACTTTCTAGATCACAGGCTTCAAGAGCTTGCCCAGCGAGCTACAAGATACAAACAGGTCTTAGTTTGCTATTTTACCACACCTTTGCACCTCCTTACGGTTGAACAACCTTCCGGCCTCCCTGCCCTTGGTGAAGAAAACCCAACTGACCTGTCAGCGCACACCAAAGCAATACTCTTGCATGACGTAAAAAAACACACCCACTCCTCTTGTTGTGTGGACCAAGCACAACTGGCATCGCCCACAGAGGGCACAAAATCCCCAAGAACAAGCCAAAAGAGACGACACGCCTGTGCTGCTGCTGCTGCATGCCGGAAAAAAGACGGACGGACGCTACAAGATGGCCGCCGGCGTGCGACTGCGTGGTGGTGAAGAAGCGCCGCACCTGCATGTGGCTGAAGGGTTTCCCGGTCTTGAACCGTCCTCGTCGATCGCGCAGCCTCGACCCGTGGTCGCAGCGCTGCGAGAGTGTGCCCCCGTCAAGTCTCGCGATGATCAAGAACCTCTCGGGTTCCTTCCCCGCCCCAAGCAGCCGCACGATATTCTCGTGCCGTACCCTACGCGCGTCCGATTCATACGAGCCCGGGGGAAATCGACAAGGGGTGTTTGTCGCGCTCAGTTGAATCTCATTCCCCACTCCTCGCTTAACAACCCCGCAGAAGGGGGTCTGGGGGTTTAGTCAAGGGTGATGTCGAGAGGCGGCGGGACACTGGAATTCACTCCTGGGCGTGCCCTACCGGAAGTTCGGACTACTCTAAAGGGAATGCCTTGCAACCTGCCTGCGCAAACAAAGGGAAACTCGCGACTAGGCTGTGCGACATCGACGCATGCAATTCGGGCGGTGTACTCGAGCTCTACCAAGTCCAAGCAGGATCGCGTACTGTAGCAGTGCAAAGATCACGGTGCTGTGAAAGGGCAACCGTTCGACATTGCTGCCTCAAACCAACCATGCCGCTGCAAAACATTAAGAAGCTGGACTGACCTTCTGAGCAACGCCAGCTCTAGCTCTAGCTCGTCCCTCACTAGGGCCGCATCCTGGACGTCCTTCCGCATGAGCTTCACCACCACCTGCTGGTCCTTGTAGACCGCCGTGTAGATCGTGCACCTGGCCAGGGAGACAAGCAACGAAACCACCGTTAACGACGACAGTTTCCGTTCCGCTTGGCTATTCCACCCGTCGACCTAGGGACCTACGAAGCCGCCGAGGGGTCACGGCCAAAACCATCAAGAACAGCTCGGGTTCCATGTGCATACCACAAGTGTTTCCCTTGACTGCGTTAATTGCATGAGCGAGAACCGTAGACAGAAAGTGACACACAATCACACTGGTCGTTCTGGAAAAAAAAACTGAGAGCTACCAAACATCGTTCACACGAAAAAAGCATGAACCGATACCGATGTGTTGGATCCCGCCACGTTCACGGGTCTTCGAGGCAATCGAGTCGAGAATTAGAGAGCTTGGGCAGCAAAAAGCCATGCACGCAGAAAATCACAATGAAATAGGTTTTGGAAAGATAGCAATTACGCCGCACCTGCTGCCATTCACGAGGAAATCGACATCCTCAAGCTCTGCCCACGCCACGCTGGTGTTGAGCATCCCGCCAGGGTGAGCCAAAACCGGCACGTCTTGAAGGTGAGTTTCGACAAATGCAGACTAAATGAAAGAGAGATAGCAGCAGCAGCACCAGGAGCAGCAGTAGCACCCGTACATGCAAACGAACATTAGGCGAATCCGATGGGGTTTCGAGCAGTAGAACAACATTGTTCACCATGGCATGCGATGATGCCATGCAATGTGAGCTTGTCGGCTCATCCTGGTCTCTCATTTGGATAGCAAAGATAGGAGCCCATCAGCAAGGAGAAGTTCGTCTCCATGTGGAAAGCGTGGGACCTTAGGAGAGGTGTAACAACCATGGCCTTGCTACTTGTTGCGAGATCGCAGGCTCACACAACCAAGGGCAACGCCCTTCCCCAGCATTTCGCCATACTTGGTCCAGTTCTCGGTTCCCACCCCAGCCCTTCTGCTGTTGGCCCTCACTCAACGGGGAATGGGTCCGGAGAGCCATCCATCAACATGGTGTGAACCGAGGCGATCTAAGGGACAGACAACCATAGGACAATACAGCAGCAGCGGTGCCTCACCGTTATCCCATCCCCTCCCCTCCCATCCCATCCCATCCCATCCTCCCTCTGGCTCACCTTCTCGGGGTGCCCCTTTGCCACCCCACACGGCAGCTTCATCTTTATCTTCTTCTCCTTCTGCTCGAGGAACAGGGTAGTGGCGGCCTTGGAGATGTGCTCCAAGAAATCCAGCGACAGCAGGTTGCGCTCGTGTAGCGTGAGCGACAGAAACACCTGGATCGACGTTCAAGACAGGCGAGATCGAAGCTTTGACGGGTCAGACAGGCGGAGAATGGACGGATACACCAACTGCTCGACCAGCAAACTCTGCATAAGAAGCCACGCCGAATAACTTTCTGTTCATGAATCTGAAGTAGTTCGTCCATGACTACTTTCAATTCTTACAAGTTTCACATGTGGCGGGAGCGCGGTTGACTTGATCTCCCTCTGGCAATTTCTGTATACGAAACTTGTCGACCAGCTAATTCAAACCAACGTGAGTCATGATACGTGCGGCGAGCGAAACATTTCTTCGTAGAACTTGTATTGGACGAATGCATGACCTGCGCTGCGGTGAGAAATTAACGCGCTTGCACGCACACACAGCAGCAACACACCCGTTGATGCACCACCGACATCTTGGTCTCTCATGACAACAAATACAACGGTCGGGCGTAACAAGGGTTTGTGTCTCAGTCCCTTCCCGTCTGTTGTGTCTTTGATAAAGCTGGATTGCGCACCGCGATGTAGGTGTCGTCCGTCATCTTATCCTCGTCGTCCGAATCGACGTTCACGTGCACCGGCAGCACAACAGCGGTGTTGATGGGCAGGGACGGGTGTAGCTTCCTCGCAGGGGTTGATTTGAACCACAGGGGACACTCGCTCGCTCGAGCTTGCTCGCACAGCTGCAATTGTTGCGGTTGCAGGCGCGAGAACGAAGAAGAGATGGAGACGATTACGCTTCAAGCAGAGATAACAACATCGTTCGTAGATTACATCAACAACCTTCCGCCGTTGCGCCCATCATCAGGAGATATAAGCATAATCGCATCGCTCGCTTTGCTTCAATGCTATCATAGTAGGCCTGCGGCAGCTGTCTGTGTCTGACATGCGAAGCATTCCACTTTTTTGGCTTTTTGGATGTCATATAAAACAACTACCGGTATACACACGTTGACTGGAACCTTAGGTCAAGTCTCCTCCATAGTCCCTCAGTTGGAGACCCCGTAGTTTACAAGAGTTCGTCGTGCGTTGTTTCGTCCCGCTCAGGGTCTGGAACATGTCATCAACACGGCCTTTGCCGTCTTTACGCGAAGAACTTCGCAAAAGTTAGACACGATGTGTATCGACATTCAGTGAAGCCCAAGTCCAGCGGGGACGTGACTTGGCCGGCCAACAGGTATAGCACGAGGCTCAGACTCAGCGTGGTGTTCACTGTCCAACCCGCTTCTTCAGCCGTATTGGCCAGTCGGTCAGCGCGTTAATGATACAGATTTGGTACATAAATATTTTCTGTTTTGGTTCGTTGAGGTTTGCTAGGCTGTTCGAGTCAAGAACAACGTGAAAAAGCCACCTCAGCTGTTGTGATTTGTTGAGCTTGGGAACGTCACACCGCTGCTGGCATTCAGCTGTGAGTTGGTCCTGCTGCCTGCTTTTATTCTCATCATCTTGCATCACCCCTTCATGACATTGCCGTGCTCTCATGAACCCACCCCGGTAATCACTTTTATCTAGTACTTCTGTTAACTCCTTTATTAATAACGTCGACGCTCTACCGATTGACCAACGATGACGCCAGTCGGTCTAAATAATAGCGGGAAAATACACAGATTGCCCAAGGGGAGGGCCGCGGAGGAGAATGGAGGACACGATCCAGCTTCCGGGTTCACAGCAGTAGACACCATTACCACGATCCAGCTCGTGGAGACAGAATATGATAAGCATCGACCACGCTGGATTGACCAATGAAAAGACGCCAGTCTTGCAGCTAATTACGTGTGGTCCTGTGCTGAATGGAGCCAGATATCTACCACCTCGTAGACACTACTTGAGATTCAGCGCGCCGAACCGGAAACTACCCGGGTGTACGCAGATGTGATGATTTTACATGTCAAATCTTGTCGTTTTAGTAGGCTCAACTAGGTCGTCGGGAAGGAGGGACATGGAGAGCGGCAGCGAGACATTGCAATAACTTTCTGCTGTCTGATGTTTCGTAGGAAGTCTACAACTGTGTGTGTTTTCGTCCTATTTATTATGGCAACAATCGGAGGGTGTGAGATAAGGTGCCCCAAGCCTTACATACTGACATGTGGTGCCCACATACCCCCCCGGATACGAGCGAGCGGACAGCTCGGCATCGTGGACAAATACGCGGGTACCAGACGCACCCCCCAGAGCATGTACGGTAACCGGAACCCGACCGGCTGGCGGCGGACAAAAAACCACCCATTGTCACGTGCCCGAATTCGAACCCGAGTATTTGACATTGCAGGGATGACATCCTGCCGCTGACGCCACTTGTAAAAAGGGTGTTTGCCCGACACGACATAAGGTGCCCCAAGCCTAATATACTGACATGTGGTGCCCACACAATCCCCCCATTTTTCGTGGTGAGACGTGTACTACACCTTTCCGCGTATGTAGAGTACTACATACACTTTTCAGTGTATTTTTTCGTACAACTACAACCATCCAGGGTCACACAGGAGGGGGGGAAACACCAGGGTTTTTTTCTTCTTTTTATTTCTTTTCATGCCCCACCTCCCTCCTGCGGTGCGTGCTGAATTTTGTTTATATCGCGAGAAGGGTCCAGCCGTCCCATTCCCTCGTCAACGGTGCTAACGTCGAAGATTGGTACTCACGAGAGCTTGTCAGCTTATGTCGCTTTCACCCGCATATTTCGTCACCCCATGGGGCTTCGAACTCACGACCTCTGCGACTAGCGGATTACGANGAAACACCAGGGTTTTTTTCTTCTTTTTATTTCTTTTCATGCCCCACCTCCCTCCTGCGGTGCGTGCTGAATTTTGTTTATATCGCGAGAAGGGTCCAGCCGTCCCATTCCCTCGTCAACGGTGCTAACGTCGAAGATTGGTACTCACGAGAGCTTGTCAGCTTATGTCGCTTTCACCCGCATATTTCGTCACCCCATGGGGCTTCGAACTCACGACCTCTGCGACTAGCGGATTACGAGGATACCATTAGACCACCGGGGCGACCGATTCAAGTAGAATATTCCTATAATAGGTGATCGGGACAGAGGCACGGACACGATTTTTTTTTTTTTTTATCGGTTTCCGCGGGCTCTTTTCTCGAACGGTTGGTGCGATACCTGTTCCTTTCTATTAATATCATATTGATTCCTTGTTCCGAGTGGTTTGTACCCTATTTTTGTTTTTTCCCCGCGGTGTCGTATGTGCCGGGTTTTGAGACCACGGGCTCCCCATTTTTTGTGGACTATAGAGCTAATGTGAGAAACAACAACAACAACAACAACAACAACAACACGGTAAAAAACGAAAGCGGCCGAATAGAATCTGCTACAAATTACACTCCTCCGGCATGTCCACGTATGGATGGAGAACTGTTTCTCAAGTGAGATGACCTCATGTGCTGCTGTCCAGATATACGTGTGTATGATTCTAACCCTCCCCAGCCTCTCTCCTCGCGTCTCTGTTGAGCCCACTGCTGTCTCCGGCTCTTGCTTCTGATGTCTTCCCCCTCACCCCTCCCAACACGCACCTGCGGCGAAAGTACATGATGCTGAGGTGCTCTCGAATCGTCAAAGCCGGAATTCCACATCCCCATGATGCGCCCGCTGTATGTCTTCAACGTCGCGGGCATCGTGTACACGTGCTCGCAGTGAGCCTTCACGGTACCCCCTCCGGCCGCGCCGCTGGCGCTCCCCGCACCCCCCCGCACCTCCCGTGCCTTATCGCTTCCGCTCTTGCTGCTGTCCGGGCCGAACCGCCAGAGCTCCGCTATGTCGAACTTCAACGACAGCGCCCCGACGCTGAGACAGGTATCAACTTTCAGAAGTTCGGCATCCGGGGGCACGGGTGATTGAGAGCCCGCATCCTCGATAACATCAGGCAACACCACCATGACCCACCGCTGACGTGCTGTTGGTTCGTTTGCGGTGTTTGTTTCGACGTCGCTTGGTGCGGGGCAACAAGCGTGGACACCCACAGAATATTGTTGTTGGTGGCGTTGTCTTCCACATAAAAAACCGTTCCGATCTCTCTCCACCCAGTACCTTCGAATGTCCGTACTGATCCAACACTCGACGCGGTCGATTCCCGTGGTCGCAGGCTAACTTACCCTAAAAAGGTACACTCAAATAAGCTGGCCCCGAGGGGTCCGCAAGTCAATAGAAATCAACGACAGATATTCTGGAGTCCTCCACTCCCTCTGCGCGCTATGCGAGGTATAACCACTGAGACTAGGAGTCACCATCACGGGCCGGAGAGAAAGAGGTACACCCCATTGGTTCAATCTTGGTACTTCACAACGGGAGAAGAGACAAGGCAATCTGGCACAGAAAAGAGAGAAAGAAAAAACGAGAAAAAGAAAAAAAAATATGAACAGAGGCGTTACGTATTTTTTGTTGCAATTTCGTGGTTTTCTCTGAACCATCCAGCGTTCGACGTTGCGGTTGTCGGCATTGAACCTTCCATTCTCTCGGTGGTGTGTTGAGCTTGATGTCGCTGCTGTTGTAGTGGTGGTGGCTGTTGTCACTGCTGCTAGCGTGCGTTTGTCTCCTCAGCACCGAGCGACATGAGTTCCCCTTTGGCGCTCGACGGCAGCGGCAGCGAGCCACGAGTCCGAAGGGCGTTTTCGGGGTCGTGCGACCCGCCTCTACTGCCGCCGCCGGACCATGTTGAATACATCCAGCCTCTCCAGGACGCCCCACTATCAAGGTCGATCTCCCACACCCCGCCGCTGCCGCCCACAGACTCCCAGGACGGGGGGCGCACGACTTTCGACCCTCTGGAGGATTTCAGCCATGACACCTCGAACCTCGATGCCACAGACGGCTGCCTTGCGGCGGTGTGCTCTTTGCTTCAGTTCCAAATTGCCGAGGTACGCGACCAGGGTTTCTAGGTTTTTGTGCGGGATAACAGTACAGGCGAGCGAGCGTTTGGGTGCTAGCTGCCTATGCTGTTTATTGCTCGCCTTCGTGCAATAGGGATGGAGAGACAGAGAGAAAGAGCGAGAGAGAGATCTCAACGGGATGACATGGAGCGAAGGTATCATCGCCGAACATGAATGCATGGTATATATTTGTTCTGCTCTCCGAACAACACTGCTTTAGATTTGTTGATGCGGCTGGCTGTGCCGGCGCCCTTTCGCTGCTTCATGAAAAACCTGAATCTGGACAGGTCTGGACATACACCGGCGATATCAGCGCTGCCGAGGGAAAGCCGTTAGAACCCATGTGCCTCCACGTGTACGCACGGCCAGCCACGATCGAGAGCTTCAAGGATGTCCATGGTGCGCTGAGGGACGACAACACCAGCGCAAGACATTCGCTTTCTCCGGGGGTAAGTGCTGCGACGATGGTTGAATGTTTAACAATCGCTATTTAGAGCAGTAGTCATGCCTTGACGCTACCTCCATTACAACGCAACGGCACAATATTGGTACTACTGTTGTGGTGGTGCCCCAAGCGCCCGCCGTTGCAGGCCGCCGTCTGTAATTACGTTGGTTGCTTGTCGGTAAGTAACGGTTTCTTGTGCAGCAGGCTACAAGTACAAGTACGGAAAATATATATCCGCCGGCGGTGGCTCGAACATATTGCTAGCAGTATGCAGCAGAGTTTCGTGAGCACGTGGACACGTTCGCATACGAGCACACGAGCAACAGGCAAGCTCTTGAGTTTCTAGACATTGCATTTTCGTTCACGTGGACACTCAGCGACACGAGTTGTTGTAAGGCACGTGCAAGTGTGTGCGGCTGCGTGCCAGGTGCTGTGGCCGCATGTGCGTACGCTACAAGTAGAGTTCTTATATAACAATGCCTACGTACACAGCAGTCCAGGCATTTGTTTGTCTTCTACGAAGGTATTTATTTTACTCTTCCGAAAGCGGCCGCCGTGCAAAAGTTGATGATCGGCGTAACAAAAGATGTTGTGGCGAGTCTGCGTGAGGAACCACAACACACAGGGACCAAGAGGAATGCTCTGGTCGGAGATACCGAACCTACAGATAACAATTTGTACGATGAATTGGGTGCAGCAGATCATGTTTTCCTTCCTCGACAATCCCATCGAGGCACGCACGTGTTATGGGCAAATATTCACAACCTCACCCCGCCGGGTCGGGATACATAGGTGTCTCGTTAGTCCTCGGCGTGCCTTCAACATTGAGTTCGAACGTGCGTGCGGCCCACTAGACAATCACCGAATACTTGTGTAGACTATAGCGTAGCATGGATCGTGTGTCCCAGAGGTTGGTGATATTTTCCTCTGTATTCTACATGTTTCCAGACATCTAGACAGACGAGAGATGAATGAGTACGTATTATTAGGTCCCGCGGCGAAAAATTGCCAGTACTGGCACAGAAAAAACACGCTCCAGTAGCTCGGGTACAGCGACCTAGGCCTACCCACTGCACCACAACCTATTTGGGGGTGTTGGGTTCGGGTTCGGGTTCGGGTTAGGGTTAGGGGTGGGTAAGACCTAGTGAGGCCTAGCGCCGTGGTGCTGCCTGAGGGCTGGAAACCTGCTGTGGCTTTGGTTTCGTGTCTACCTCCAATCACAACCCAAAAATTGCTGAACTGGCGAGCAAGAATCTCGCCAGCGCTGGCGTATATACGCATTTCGATTATTAGGTTGGGGGCACCACGCGTGAATTGCCCAGCGTTACCCACACACAGGCGTTACCCACACACAGGCGTATGCATAAGTGAGTGTGCACCCCGAGAAACAGCAAACAACAGCAGAGGCACAAGAGCCTGTTACACACGGTGGAGAAATCGCTGTATGCTGCTTGGGGAAATCGTAGAAACACAGGTAGCCTACAATAACGCTACGAATACCTGCTGATCTATCCCATACATGTAGTCTGTATCGAGGGGATGAATTGGCTGTACCACAAGGGTGGGTCGTACCCTTCATTTTTTTTGTTTTTTTGTCTCCCATGATTGGACTTTGTCGTCTGCCCCTCTGGCCCCTATCCTCCACTTCTACCAGCGAGACGACCCAACCGGGGTCACAGGAGGGGGAGGTTGGACCCCTTCCTGCGGTTCCTGCCTGAGATATTTTTTTCGCGAGAGGGGTACAGCAATCCCTTCCCTCGCCACTTGTGAAGTCGATCAAGTTTACTAACAACGAGCTTTGCAGCGCGTCGCGTCGCTTCCAACGCAGACCAGGATTTAACTAGCGAGAAAAAAATTCACAGCGTCGGGACTCGAACCCATGACCTGACCTTTGGCAGGCTTGGAAGCTATCCACGAGACCACCGGGGCGACCGGTGTATATTGCGCCCCCAGTTCACATGCCGACCCCGAGTAAAGAACAGAGGATCCACAGAACCCTCGGTTTGATCGGGTGAAATCATGAGACAATTGTNGTCGCTTCCAACGCAGACCAGGATTTAACTAGCGAGAAAAAAATTCACAGCGTCGGGACTCGAACCCATGACCTGACCTTTGGCAGGCTTGGAAGCTATCCACGAGACCACCGGGGCGACCGGTGTATATTGCGCCCCCAGTTCACATGCCGACCCCGAGTAAAGAACAGAGGATCCACAGAACCCTCGGTTTGATCGGGTGAAATCATGAGACAATTGTTTTTTTCTCTTGCAGTTCCAGCAAGCTGAACTCGTGTTCAACACTTAATATGTGACACAGGTCTTTCTTATAGATTTATTCAAGATGATTTAAAATCAACATAAAATATTCTACCCCGAGTTGTTATATTTTCTTCACATTACAAACCGTTGATTCTCTCTACCCAGTTACCTTCTTCTGTCCGTACTGGTACAACACTTGACGCTGTCGATTCCCGTGGTCACAGGCTAGCTTCCCCAAAAAGGTTAAGAGAATATGATAGACCCGAGGGTCCGCAAGGCAATAGAAATCAACGACAGATAGTCTAGGACAATCCGCTCGCCTCTGCACGGTATGCGAGGTAACTATAGACTGGAAAAATGAAAGCAAAATAAAAAAGACGAGAGCAGAGGGAGAAAAAGGACAAGAGTTAGGCGAACCTAAATTCCGAGATCTCAAAAGGAGGTCTACTATGGCAAATTATTTTCTGAAAGGACAGACCGTACGACCGCTGTACCGCTGTTACTGCTTCTGTCGTTTCCGCGCTCCCGCCTAGTTGCCACACGGCACGAGGGAGTCTCCACACCCGCACACAACACGCAACGGGCTCCACAGCCAAAACCCGCGAGCGCAAGAGTATGTCCTTGTGTGCTGACCAACAGGAGCGCTACAAGTAGCGGCAGCGGCTGCTGTGGCCATGACCAGTACCGCAACCACCAATAGTACCGCAACCAGTGATTATGGATATTAGCCGCATATTGTGCCGCCGCTCTCTGTGGATTGCCCTCCTCCCTCCGAGGTTAGTGTCGGAGGGTGCTCCCAGTTTGTGCCAGAGGATGTTCTCGGCCCGTACAGCTCACCGGCCGCAGCCCCATGTACACACCTCCACACAGCTGCAAACCAGCGCAACCTCGACCACAGGCTGTCTATTCGTTGTTTTGCCGCACAGTCAACTCCAACTCGGGGTCCGTTTTTGGAAAAGCGGACAAGACCCGCCACACCTCTGGTGGCCGAGTAATGTGGATCTTTCTGTTCTAACTCGGGGTCGGGGTGTGAACTCGGGCGCACGAATCCGGTGAAGCTCACCCTAAGGAAGAAAAATATGAAAGTGTAGCAGGTCACGGGATGCGCGGAAATTGCTGTACCTGCGTTTTTTTTGCAGATGCATTTGACCAGCCCGCCTGAATTGGTAATTTCCTCAAGTGAAATGGTAATTTCCTCCAGTAAGTGGCACCGGGACAAGGTCAACAGCCGCGGAGCAAGTCAGTAGAGCACAGCACTTTGGCGCGTCCTGAACAATCTTCTGAAAACACTCGACCGACGTCCGTGCCGTAAAGCAGTGGTACTGCTCTATCTAGGTAGACAGTGGTTTTGCGCGTGCGCTTTATTAACACGATCGTCTGGGGGAGCAACGCTAAAAATGGTGCAGGTTCGATGTGCAAGGCAAGTAGCGGTAGTCACGCTTTGTCGTCTCTGCCGCCTGAACCGAAAAACTATTGTAGTTTGATTTTGAAAGTGCGGCGTCATTCTGGACGTGCGAAATTCCTATTTCGACTTCACCAATCCCTTTTAGAGAGAAAAGCATGGGAAACTGTGCAGGCTGCCAAGTAGTTTGTGTGACGCCTCTCGGCGAGGTTTTCTATAGTGGCATCACCTAACCCCTCATGTGCGTGCACATTGACACCGAATCCTTCCCCATTCACCCGACCATTGTTTGCTTTTGTTTTTTTGCGTAGCTTGTCGACGAGGCGCGGAAGCAGGAGCGGCTGCTGTGGTTCACCTCGATGCACCCGGACACCCCTCTCCATACCAGCCTTCCCCTAAACACGGCCGTAGCGCTCCCCATTAGCCTCTCCGTGCTCCGGAGGGATCTCTGCTTCGTCTTCTTTGCCGAGCACGACGTGATTGTGAGTTCATCGGAGAGATACTTTTCCAACAGGGTCGGTTGACTACTACATATCCACCATGACCGAGATACATAGCAAAAGTGGGTTGTGGCACGGTTGTGGTGCTGTTGACCCCCTTGATTTACGGTCAAGCACCAAACGCCTTCTAAATAGTACTTTAAACTAGGCAATTCCCCCGCAAAGACGCCTCCGAGAGAGCGGCAGCTGACATGTTGGCAACAGAGTGGGTGCCGCTGATGGTGGCTCTTCTTTGTGAGATGGTTGGCGGGTGTATTTTGGGGCATAACGCGTTTCCTACGCCCCACCCTGCTTTTCCTCGACCATGCTGCCCGTGCGGTGTGCTCTCCACCGGCCGAACGTACAACCAGTCGGCGTCGGAGTTTCCGAACAGTACCATATGTACCAGTCTGCGGCCCTGGGTATGGATGGTACTGGATGGTATGAATCTGTTGGTTGTTATGCATATGTCCGGGAGCAGCAAAGCACGAGGTGCATTTTTTTTCGATTGATTTTATTTGGGACACCTGTGTTGGTCGTATCGCCGTGCTCGCCTAGATAAAGGTATGCGGCGACGAAGCCCCTCGTAGCGTGCTATAACTGTTGTTGAATGTTCAGTTCGCATTTGTGCCGTGATGCAGCACTCTCTTCCCAGCAGATCGTTTTTTTTTTTTATGAAACTGTTGTCTTAAGAGCAAGTCTTGAGTGCATGTGTTATTTTCTTTCCTTCCTCAGCCGAATCGAATTCTGTTTGTCGCGCTGATGTTCCCCCGCTGTACCCCCCCGCACTGCTGCTGCAACCACCTACCTGTCTACCATGCTTTTTATGCAGCGACAAGACACGGCCGTGTCGGTCTTGACTGAGCTGTCCAAGGCGGCGGGCGTGGCAATATCGGCGTCCTTTCCGGCCTACGCCAAGGAGGACGGTAGCGGTAGCCCGACCAGGAAGTCCGGAGTAAGAGACAGCAATAATATTTGTAATACTGCTGTACGATAACAACCTTTACTCGCTGGAAGAGATACTACCCGCACTCGGTGGTATCTAGGTGTGGGTTTGTCGAGGCAGCACATGGTGCCCATGGCGGGTCATCTGTTCGTTCGCTTGTATGATGCGAAGTTGTTTACTGGTATCATTTGTACCTTTTTTGTTCTCTTCATATGTGAGGGTCTTCGCATTGTGTACGCTTAGCCGAGCTCGGCCGATTCCCGCCCCCCGCCTACTATTTTTTCATGTAGCGTACAGCAGTATTCGTTTGTTTTTGTCCGGTGGTCTTTATTTGGTTCTTGTCTGGTGACGCTGTTGTGTATTACGTCCGGTTTACACGGCCATGTGTTGAAACATATATTTGAAAACAGCCCCGCAGCCGTTGCCTCTAGCATGTGCTTCTCGCGTCGTGAAGTGAGCATCGCTGCATAAAATTTCGACCTCGTAGATGGCCGATTCTCGCGCTTGCTTACCGGTCGTGCTCCCCATGTTGCGCTTGCTTGTTTCAATGTCAACGGGACCTTCGACACAACGCGACACCAGACGCCGAGCATTATGTCGGAAAACGCTGCCAGCCCCAACCCGCCCGTGGGGGATGCCCCGCTCAACCTAGATGTGAGTTTTGGTCGGCCAATTATTTGCTGCTGAACCAACCCATAGAGTTTGAAGGTGTCCCTTCACCCCGATTCTTCTTGTCTGCGTCGGGAAAGAGCTCCGCTCGACCCAGAGCGACCGGGTAATGTTGAGCTAAGAGGGGAAGTTGTTGGTGTCGTCTTGAGCTGTGGTGGCTTCAACGCAACCCAACGCTGGGCCTTTGCTGTCTTGTTTTCTTCGTCTCACCTTCCTTGTTTGTCGACCTTGTCTATGATCTATTCTTGTATTCATCGTGGGACTACTCATGTGTTGGTGCCATATCTGGATCGAAGACTTGAAGGGCGGTCGTTGTTACTCTCCATGCCTGTTGTAGCTCTTTTCAGCCCTCTCCTACATAGTGCCTGGGTATGTTGCCTGTTTACACCGCCATGCTGCCATATCGCGGATTCCAAGCAACCAATCGTGCCAACCACACGTCCTCGACCATTCCAGGTGCGATGGGAGCAGCTCACGACGGTGGAATTCATGGTAAACGGTAGCCGGTGCACCATATACACGGCTTTCTACGGGACGACGCCTGTGGTGGTGAAGGTCATGCGGAAAGATGTCCAAGACAGGGACACTGTACGCCAGGTGCGCGTGACCTCGTCTATCCTGTGAATGTGCTGCGTTTGTGGTAGCCGGGTCTAGTCGTGCGTGCTTTGTGATGTAGCTCCATCGCGGGTACGATCGCGTGTGAGTACAAATGTTGAGTGCTCGGCGCTGTGTGACGTGGGGTTCATAAGGGGGTTGCATCCACCTGGTTCCAAACCGCGTTTCCGACACTGGTACGTCGTCATATTCGTCCCTTCACCTACTCTTCTGTCGACCTCCACCTCTTATCCGTTGTCTGTTTGCGCCCGTGTCGTGTGAGTTTCATCGAATGGAAGTTTGGATGAAACGGGTTGGAAGGAAGGTGCGTGGGTCTTCAATGGATGTGCCGATTGTCGCTGCACGCGTCTCTGCTAAACATTGCCTGTTATCACAGAGGCGTGTGGTAACAAATGCGCCCGATGGACACGCGGCGATCCCTTGGTGCGAATGAAATGAAAACGCAGGAGCTGGAGCTCGAGATGGGTCTGCTGATGCGCCTGCGCCACCCTAACATCGTCCGGCTGCTAGGAGCCGGTACCCGGCCAGAGCCGTTCCTGCTCATCGAGCGATTGGACGGCGGGACTCTGGCACAGCGCTGCGGCAACGCGGTCAAGGTCCGGGACAGAAGGCGCCGGTTCCGACACATAAGACAGTTCACGTGAGTGTCTCTGGTCGAGATAGTTGTGGGACGCACACCGAGTATACTGGTGTGCATTCACCGCCTTGGTTGAGGAAGCTTGGGGCGTGTTGTGTTCGTTGGTGTGTTGGAGGTCCTGTTGAAATCGGGGAGAGAAAAGGACTATGAAAAGTGTTGGTCCCCGATCTGTCTGTACCTGCTTGCAGTCGTTCGGCGCGATGTCTTTGCATAGCGGCATGCCATTTTCCACCCGAGCGGTCGGACGGGACGAAGTTGACGCAACCGTCGGAGTGTTTCCTAACTTTCAGAGCATGCGGCGTCATTTCCCGGCTCCCAAGAATAGTGGTGTTGAATTCCCCTTGCGGGTGCCGGTGCACGTCAGGTACGAGGAGTTGCTGCGGCAAGGCCTGCAGTTGGCCGAGGCCCTCCAGTACATGCACAACGAGGCCATGCCGGGGAAGCTGGTGGTGCACCGCGACCTGAAGCCGGACAACATCGGCTTCGACTCGCAGGGCAACCTCAAACTCATCGACCTGGGCCTGGGTAGGGTGGTGTCCAAGGCTGCCGACGACAAGGCGACGTACCAAATGACGGGAGAGACCGGAAGCTTGCGGTGAGTCGAGTCAGCCAACCCTGCGTGCTGGCTGGTTGCGTGGAACATGCGCACGGCGGGGTCTCGCTCTCTGTGTCTGCTTCCCCCGCGCAGGAGTCTTGTCAGTGAGAGGGCTCGAGTCAACGCAACGATCCATTGCCCGTACTCCCCCGTTATCCGACCTGGCCGAAAATACCAATCATGTTCATCTGCTGATATGGCTTCTTCATCTTCGGACGTACCCCTTGTTCGTGTGTGGCGTGGCGTCGCGTCGCGTGGCAGGTACATGGCCCCCGAGGTGGCGTTGGGGAAGCCTTACAACGGCTCAGCAGACGTGTACGGTGAGAAAAGGAGATAACGAAATGTCAAAAGTGCGCACATTATGCGCACTCCGCTCTGTCGTCGTCGTCATCGTTGTCGTCGCTGCTGGCGTGTTGGCTTGATTGGGCCCCTGCCGTCGTTGCTTGCTGGAACGGACGAGGTCACAGGACTTTCCTTTACCTGGAAGATGTTGCGAGAGTGGCTAGTATTATCATGATAGTAAGCAGCAATCGTCGAACCGAGGTGGCGCGCTTGCGAAGTGTTTTCCCCGTTCCGAAGGCCCACAGCAATCATTCGCAGCAAGGCGGGAGTTGTGTTAACAATGGCATTTATTGTAGGCCGAGCCGGACACAAAATGGCATGAGTATACACGAAGTCGCATGGGCGTCGCGTCTCGTCATCATACCCAAGAATTGTGCGGCAGTGTTGCCTAATCCGAAAATGGCGGTTTCGGTCTCTTGACGCACAGGGTTCGCCATGATTCTTTGGGAGATGGCCACAATGACCAAACCGTTCGAGATGATGGGCCGAGAACAGTTTCTTCAGCAAGTCGTGAGTTCATGGTCGTATCGTCCTTCATGGACTAATCTTGTCCGTCGGAGGTCGTGGCGTTCACTGGAGTCGGAAGAAACAAACGAATTTCGCAACGTTAAGCTGCGGTTTGATGAGGTTACGTTGCAGCTGGGCCGCTGCACATATGTCAAGTGTGCAGTGCTCGATATGCTTGAGGTGACATGTAATGGACGAGAGAGAGGCCACCTAAACGATGGAATGTGGTATGGTGTTTGGTGTCTAGGTTTCATGCCGTATTGATGTTTGTTTGCTGTGATGAGTGATGATCCACGTGAAGCAAACACAACCGGGCTTTCGTGTGTTTGTTTCTGGACTCTGAAACGTGGTCAAGAGCACAATTGTCAACAATTAAGGTTTTTCGGATTATTGGTGGCAGGTGGAAAAGGGCGTTCGACCACGCGTGAGCGAGAACTGGCCGGCTCCGTTCGTGAAACTCCTCCAATCTGGCTGGCACCAAGACATGCACAAGCGGATGTCTATTGTGGAAATCACCACCACCTTGCGAAGGTGAGAAGGAGGAATGTGTTGCCTGGACTTTCAGCCGCTGTCCTGGGTCTAGTCCAAGAATTATTTATATATGCCACGTGCGCCTACTTGGATTTTAGTGGAGATTTCACCACGACGGCACGAATGGGATGGACGCACTGCTGTATTTACGGACCCCGCGACGTCCCCCGTATTTGTATTGCATGCGGCGAAGCACTCGAACAGGCGGCGAAGAGGGAGGGAATGGGTGGGGTGGGAGGCGAGTGGACGATGACCTGTCTTCACCTTGCATCTCGGCTGTCTTGTACCGCACACCTACGCGATCTCCTGACCCCCCCTAGTCCTTCTGAACAGGGGGCTTTGGAAAGTATCACGTCTGTACTCAAGGGATGCACTGTCCTGCGCGCCTTCCTCCCCTGTGTGTCTTCCAGCCTGCTTGAGGCAGCCGCCACCGCTGCCGCCCAGGCCCGGTCAGTGGAGCGTGCCCCTACACGGAAGTTCAACCTGTTCAAGAGCACTTCCAGAAAGCTCAACAAAGGCGACTTTCCAGCGTAGCAACGGCACGGCAGGGAAAGATTACGGTAAAAGACAAACAGGTTATGGTCGGGAGACCTGCGCGAGACAGAAGTGCAGTTTGAAGCCCTTGTCCTGGCGGCACCTGGTAGAAAGTAGCTGAGAGGTCGGAAAGTGTGGGCCGTGATGTTGTTTCGCTTTGTTGTCGAACGGTACACAACCCCTCTATTAGTTGTAGTCTTTTCGTCTTTTTTCTTTTATCGTGTCGTTTGTGTGTGTTGTCCTTGCTCTGCGATCCTCACACAGCACCACCAGTGTAGTGTTGAGATTTTTTTTTCGTTTGCTACACTTATTTCTGTCGGGATTGTTGTTGCGCTGTGTCCCGTCTGCTTGCTCGTTCCCCGCGGTGGCATCGGGTAGAGGAGGGACTTTTGCTGACGCGGAATTGTTCATCGTGTGCTTCTCATGTTTTGAAAAGAGTCGAAATGCTTTCTGCCAGGAGAGACTATTTCAGGCTTTCATGAGCATCCGTAGTCGTTTGTATTTGTGTGTGCTTTTCACACGTGGATTTTTAGCGGATAGGCCTCATGCGAGAAAGGGTTCTATAGAGGGACTGCGCGTAATTTTGTGTCGAGACATATTATGTGTGTTTCTAAGCATGTAGATGTTCGTGTTCGGGCACACGGTTTATTTTTTGCTTTCGAACTCGCCGTTGGTTCCGTACAGTACAGTACGTCATTGTGCGTGGTGTAGGTCGCGAGAGTGGATGTGGTGCTTGTCCGGGCGTTCAACATTATACTGCGATGTGAGGAGCGTTGCTATGGGTGGGTCCTTCCGAGAGGAGTGAAGCGGCCCCTTCCTTGTTGTTCAAGTAGAAAACAGTGAATAAATGCGAAGTTTTAATCGAATGAGCCCCCCGACCTTTAAGAACCCGAGACGAAGCATTACGTGATGGAGGCCATCATACGTTGTTACTTATGCTGTAGGTCGTTGATCTGGTAGAAGGCTTTTTTTTCCACGCGCAAAACGGAACGTTAAGAGTCTCCGCAGAATGATGGAAGGTCTCTTACACATGGGCCGCGAGCACGCCAAAAGCTGCTTGCAGCAGTCAGCGGCATTCTAACTTCGACGCGCACCCTTCGGAGAACAACGTCGAAAACATGCTCCGGTCAAAGAGCTTGGATTAACCCTAACACCATCGGGTGCCGCTCGCCCATCCAACAGCACACAGCACACCAAATAACGCCAACACGAACCTGGCACAGCGCAACGTATCTACATTGTACAACACGATTGGTCCTCTCCCTATCAACCCAAAGCAATGCAGCAGCAGTCTCAACTCTCCCCGCCGCCACGTCTCTCCGTTTTTTTCGGCATCCTGGGGCTCTGATGGTGCTATCGCCATCCCGCTCTGCAAAGGTTCTTGTTTGTAGGGCGAAAACAACGAGCACTAGTCTACATCAACCACCGGCCACCACAACTGCCTAGCAAGTATGTTAGCTGCTGTCCTCTCCCTGCTTGTCTGTCCGGACGGTGTCATCCAACAGATTGAACAAAGAGAAGAAGAGCAGCAGAGAATGCCTTTCGACATGGGTATGTAGTCACTTATGTCTACGCGGTTCCAGCTTCAGGTTGTGCTGGTGGTTCTGCATCTCCACTCCCGTCCCCCGCCTCGGCAGAAGAGTCATCTGCAGGTTCGATCTCGGCCTGTGCGCCACAAACGCAAAGGGACAGGTTGGCACGGTGCTTTTTTTTTCATCGCACGTTCGATCCTTGACAGCGGTCGTCACACGAAAGGCTTCCTTCCCATTTCCCGTCCCTATACAACTGACGCAAAACACAAACGTATACAGGAAATCGAGCCTCGACTCTCCTGTGGACAGAAAAACAACCAATTGTACACAACGGGCCCGAAACTAACAAATTCCCCAGTAAGAACTAAGGGCTCCATTTTTCAAGGACAAAAGGAACATACATACTCGTCCGGTTCAAGAAACACAGCTCAAGCGTAGACCCTGCGCTACCCTCTGCTGTATGTATGTGTTGTAACGTTCGGTGCTCGACAGTGACGGTAAAACCAGAAACTGAGGCTCGACCAAACCGAACTACACTGGTACGACGCTTCATAATTGCCGGCCCATTCCGTACTCATGTTTGCTCGATCGTGCCCTAACAGCAACAGCCTTCGAGAGGTCCCGAACCTGTTCCGACCTCGTGAAGTGTTAGGTGTGCAGATCATCGTTATTAAAATCACCGGACGCAATTACCTGCAGCATGAGGTCCTGAATGGACTTTTCCAGATCGTCGATGCGGGTGCTCATCTCGTCGACCCTCCCGATGATGGTGTCCGACATTTGACTGAACCGATTTTGCTGCAAATTATCGTTCATGACATTGTTGCATTTCATTCGGTTCGTTGTCGTTTGATGCGGTTGGTAGGGCTGCGGGTAGGGGGTGTGGGCGGGGGAGAGACGACATACTTACAGAACAAAGAACAAAAAACGATCATAATGGGCAAACGCACAGCTACAGTAGCAACCACCACAAAGGATCTACCACCAGCAGCAACGCACACCAACTGTACTCCAAAAATACTGCTGTGTCACTAGCAGCTGTTACCGTAACTCTTCGGTGGTCCAGTCAGTCAGTCGGTTGCGAGCGGGGACCAATGTCGAAAGTAACCGACAAAAACGCAACCTGACAGCTAACCGCAGCATCTACATGTACCATGCCGAGCTGTTGCAGCCGTCCGTGTAATTGCTTCGTCCATTCTCTGCCTGTATTTTAGTTTTCGGGATTTTTCTGTCTCCTCCTGAGGTATACTTAGTAGGAATGTAGTCCAACCCACATTCGACCCGCGGGGGGACCCCCAATTCTTTTCGGCGGAAGATCCAATAACCCAGAAATGATTCGAATCGATATGGAGTCACAGAACCCTGAAACTAGTGGATTGCGCGCTTGGCTTACTAAGGTATGTAGTCATACCACGGTTGTAATGTACAGCAGTACTGTAGGACACAAGTACTCTCTCACCATTTGCTCCATGACGCTTTGTACAAACATGGTCAAGTTTTGGGCCTCCGCCGGCACTCCGGCACCTCCCTTTCCATCCCCCGCTTGTGTTTCGTTGGTCGCATCGTCCTTTCGCTCCTGTGTGACACACCATTTTACAAACCACAAACATTCGTGACCTCGAAGTGTGACATTAACGTTGTCAGGGAGATCGAAACACTGCGCACTCCGAACCGCCATTTTTACTCGTGATACGTTCCGTACATGGCTTGGTATGCAACTAGTTTGCCTGGATTCGAAACAGCCCACTCGTTCAAAATGCAACCACGCGAGAGCAGCACTTCGATGGGAACACTTGATGCATGCATCTAGCCTGGGCATTACTTCACCATAACACCACACAACGTCAAACTCTGTCATGCACGTCTTCATACGCCCCCACGGGACTGTCATTTTTTCCTCGACAAGGGTCACCAGTCACCAGACTAGACACCATCTCAAGCTTCGGCCCATGTTGCACAATGGCTACGACACGAGAGTGACGAACCCATGCCTACCTCTTTCGCATAGATAATATAAACCGCTACAGCAGCAACCACAACACCGTGGTATGGTAGCTCTCTAGATATGCGGCAGAGAGCCACACACTCCGAGTACGATGTATGCATATCCTCCGACCTCCAACAGAGAGTCCGCAGTTGGAATGATCCGTAGTGTTGCACAGCTCGTTTTAGACAACACATATCCTGCAAGAAGAAGCAAACCCTCACCATCGTCGCTATTCCTTGTTTCAGATCCAAGGAGACAGAGAGAGTGCGTAGAAGTAAAGGGCTACTGGAGGAGGTGCTGCACTGGTGCTGTGATGTGAACGTGGTCAGTGGAACGGCAAACACTGAACAACACAAGCTCGTGAAAAAGCTACACGACCGGGGGGGGTCGTGACACGACATGATACCCCCACTCCGTAAGTATCTGCGGAGGCCCCGGCAAAAGCGCGCGACCAGGCGTATATACAATAATGGTACAGTGCCGGCCCGCACTTAAGAACCTCCTATATTGGGCGAGGCTCAGTTCTTATTGGCTGCCCCAACACGAGCACCAGTTCTTATTTGCCAAGTTCTTATTTCGTCGCCCATTCTTCTCCAAGGGGCGTTCTTGTTCTTACAGTATTTTTTAAAGGAATGCCCGCCCGACGGTGGCTTGCCTCCTAGATGTAGTAGATGTAGATTCTGCCGTAGACACTCTTGTCCACGAGCACGTTGAGATGG